TTGGGCCAAAATCTCAATTTCAGTGGGGCCCCGCTGTGACCGTTTTTTAAAATTAAAAAAAAAAAAAAAAAAAAAGAATTAAAAGACTGTCTTTAAAGATGGTCTTAGAACTTCCTGTCACAAAGATAAAAATGGAAACCGGGGGGAAAATTGCAACCCTGCTACATATGTATCAACAGACTGAATAAGGTGAAGATACTACAGACACCATCCCAAAATGACAGCAGCCAATATTTGAAATGAGCTAATCTTCAGAGAGAGACATTTTCTGCTTTCAGTAAGCCTATGGAAAAAGTACAAAATCCCCCTCTTTCTCTTCCATATTCTTACACATTTTAATTAACTCTGCCTGTTCACCTGACCTTGACGAGCAAGCAAACAGCAGCAACAAGACACTGAAGAAAACAAAGCCACCACAACACCAAGAAGGAAACCTTCAATCCTAGTTGGTTAGACTGTGTACTCCTGGCACAGAGACCACACCTGACCTTGATACATCAGGGAGTTTAACTTCACTTCAACTCGAACCTCTGCCTTCCCTTTCAGGGGTGGCAACCCCTTTTAAATCCAGCCAGTCATTTGTTCTTTCCTGGGATTTTGGAGTTTTAATTAACTATGCCTTTGGAGTGGGCCATCAAAGGAGGGCTCACTCTCAAAGGCATAGTCTCTGCTGAGAGCTCTCCACAGACAGACATACAGAAGAGATTGTAATTGAAGTAACCGTTGTTTACTACTTATGTGTTGTTATCCTATTTGATATTTTTTTGTCTTTCATAATAAGAATATATGAGTTAGCAGTCATGAAAAGGGCTTTTTTGCCTGCAACCATTGTGTCCTTCTGAAACTGGCAAGAATCCTACCTGACTAATACAGTATGTGTGTATGCGTGTGTGCATGTACTAGAAGTGGTATCACATCCCCAGACTGGCATTAAAAAAGACAATTGTAAAGGTTCTACTCGTCATTGTTGTTCCTTTAAGTACAATTTTTAGTAATATTTGGGGACAGAATACTTAGTATTTGAGATGTTAAATATAATATCCCCTTCTGTTCCATGCTACTACCACTGCATTCCTTCTTGTAGTGTTTGTGTTGCTAGACCAGGCAGCTCTAGCAGCTTCTCTGACCAGGGTGGATAGAGAGATTTTCTGCAAGCTGTTACAGAATGTCCCTGGAGCAAATAAATTATACCACAGCCCACTCTTCCCAGTATTTTCTTCTTATTTATCATGCAAATTCTGTATCTTCCTTCATGCTGCCCAACACTTGGAGAAGTGCCTCTCCTACCCTCCAAAAAGGGTGCCTCTGCTACCCTTCTCAAAAAAGATCTCTTGCTAAAAACTTACTTAGGAATATTTTCTGTGTTTTTCTGCTCAGTAATCAACTCCATCAGAAGTATTACTACTAGACCTTGCACTGATTTTTTGTCCAATGTAAACTACACTCTTTGAGCTATGCCTTATACAGAGCCCTGTGCATCTCTTATTATGATGCCTCCATTTTATTACTATTGCTATCAGTAATTAGTCTATAGTTTGTATAAAGCGAGGCAAAGAGAGAAGCTTAATAAACTCTCCACTCTCTGTCCGTGCATTGCTCAGAGGAGCTACTGTATACCAGAATGTGGTCAGGGGCTATAGTTGAAATACATAACTAAAACTTAGGCCCTACCTCAGTAAAAAGTACTTGTCTAGATAACTTTGCAAAATCTGTGTTGTCTGTCTGATTCACATATATACCCCTTAAAAATTCAACTGTAAACCCAGAATGCTTACAAAGTAGAGTTCTTGGAAAGAAGCTATTAGGGAGATGGGGAAGGTCAGAACTGCTCCTGGGGCCTAGCATAGCTGGCCCCATTTCTGTGCTGCAGGAAGCAGAGGCGGCTTTCCCCCAAAAAGCACTGAAGGGACCAAGGAACAGAAAGTGGACTGCAACCTACTTAAACCAAAGGAAGCTTAAAAACATGCAAGACCAGTATCCTGAGACAAAATACAGTGGCCTGGTAAGTGAGCATTCACTAAAGAAAGCAGTATCAAAGCTGTATTTTTTCTGAGAATAGCAACATTCTCAAAAAAAAAAAAGTAAATGTTTTTGAGAATTTGTCAAAAGTGTCAGGGTGACCAAAAGAAGTAATGAAATTTGGTCAAATCTGATTAATATTTGTGGATTAAAAATAGGGGGAGAAAAGATCAAAACATGGGGTTTCACATCAACATTTCTAAAACATTGACCTTTTCTTTCAAAACTGACCTAAATTTAAAAAAAAGGTACAAGAGATTTAGGTAACACTAAAATGAAATGAAATATTTAATTCCAAGTCAATGTCAACATTTCAGTTATATTGTTCTCCCAAAGACAGCACTAATTTTCCACCTTGGGTTGTCTCTAACTTTATTTTTCTTTTTGATCTTTTGGTTTGGCCACTGAACAAAATAACCAGGTCTAGTGTTGGATATTCAGGGGACATTTTGCAAAGATGTCTGTATGCCCATGCTAGGAATGGGGTTAGCTCAATGGAATTGTTTCACTACATTAGTTTAAACATACAACTAAACAAAATTCCTAGTTTGTCATGAAAAATATACCTCCCACCCACAGCCTTTATAAAAATTCTCCATGTGCTGTAAAAAATGTGAGACCATACCCTTCAGTATACTCATTAAAAACACCTTACTGAGCAGTTAAATAAAACCCAACAAATCTTAGATGGATTATAACACCAAAGGGATGGGAGAGGAATGGAAAGCAGAGACAATACAATTAGGATGCTGGGACCATTCTAAAAGCACCTTTGAGGAAAAAAAAAAACTGTTGAGTTGCTTCTGAAAAGTGGTAAAATGATTGTTATATGGACTTCAAGCAGGATGAAGGGCTTATTCTTTGCACCCGGTAAAGCATGATCACTTGCTCTTGTATAACAGGATAGTAAAAATAATAAGACGTCAGTGGACAATGACTGAGAGGCAACAGGATTAAGACAAAGGATGGCCTCCTATACCATCCAGATCTATTTCACTTTGTTTTAATTACAAGCACATTTATAGCTCCAAATATTTCTTTGGCTGACAGTGAAAACATACAGCAGTTAGTATTTTCTTTTCCACATACTTACCATACAGTGTGGTCACTCCCCCAACCCTGGTTTCTTTGAACATAAAGATGGCATGATTTCACATATCTAAAACAGATTAACACATTTATTCTACACTCATCCTCTTCACATGTCTCTTACAGCTACAATCAGCTTCATAGCCTCCAGCACTGAAAAATCTAACATGTCTAAAAATAAGCATTTACTTACTGAGCATTTGAAATGCAATCACAATTTGATGTCTGATGTCGAAAATGTCCTTCTTTCTGACTGCCAGCCTTTAAATAACAGGATTTAATTTCCCCTTTAAAACACAAAAACATCAGTTAGAGGATGTAATTATTTGTTTGTACATAACATTTAGTTGCAATCTGGTTTTGGATCAAAAAAGCCCTATATCCATAAAACAAACACGTTCACTACTTCTTTATATTTGTGACTGGCAACATAAGCTTGTTTTAAAGCTCCCCAAAAAAAGGAATGTTAAACAAATAATGGAAGGCCCGAAACAAAATCACCAACATATACAAATTTTAAGGCAAAATTCTGGTTCTTTTTTCATGGCCAGTATAAAAGAATTCTGTGAGAAAGGAGAAGTAGAATCCTACCCAAAATTGGACACACAATGCTTTATCCGATACTCCCTTAATGACTGCACAGTCATTTATAAGTGTGCAAAGCAAGACTAAGAACCTGCTGGTGTAAGTGGAAATATTTGATTTGTGTACATTTTTACCCTCAGTAAAGGTGTTAGATGACAGAGGCAACACAGCAGAGAATTAGAACTGAGGTGACCATATTCTACTCCTTCTCCATTTTCTTCCCCACCTCCAATAAAATACATTAAGTAGGCAAGAGATAAGCATGATTCACTAACTTACAGGCCATGCTACTACCCTGGCTTCCTTACAGCTGTCCTCCCATGGCATCATAGAGAATATAATGCAAAAGGGAGAAAGACAGGACCTTAGGAACCATAAAAGCCAGCTACATAGGAGCTTCCTCCATGTGTTTTGGAAGGAGATTGCAAGAAAGCTTAAAGGAGGAAAGAATTCTTGGGCTGCTATTATGCAGACCCACTTAGCCAATGCCTGTAAAACAGGTGTTGAAACAACAGCTTCTGGGCTATTGAAACCAAAGGCATAGCCAGACAGCTTCTCCACCTGGGGTAGCCACATGATGCCCAGGACATCACCAGCTGCTGATCACCAGCATGATCATCCACTGCTGCAGTTTTGGCCAGTTTTGTGCTCCCTCCACAAAGTCGGCACCTGGGACTGCTGACCTGGTTACATTAGTGGTAAGGGCCTGTAACAGTAACTGTTGAGTAACTACTTCACAAACTGCTCATCTGGAGCTCCCTTACACCAAGGTCAGGCACTGGAAAGTGGTTTTTCCATTACATATTATGAAGACAATTATGGTTCTGAGAGATGGGTACCCTATGTGGTGGGAGGCTGCTGGCACCTAAGCTATCACCTATTCACATTCAGCTGAAAGCCCTGACAGCAAGGGTTGGGAACATTTTGTTCAAGCTAATCTCTACTCACAAGAAAAGAGCTCACAGATCTTGCAACCTGTTAAACTGTACTCTGTGTCTTTAGTCCTCTTTAAAATATGTTAAGCTGTACTCTGTGTGTCAGAAGATTACAGGTCTGAGATAACTCTACTGCATTTAGAACACTTTAGTTATTTTAAATCTGGTATTTGACCACTAAGACACCTTCCAATTGATAGACACAGAAAATGTTCTTTTCAGTAAAATAAAAAGATATACCTTTTTAGGGACTCCAAGATCTCTTTAAAATTCTCTCCTCATAGTCTAAAAGTTACAGCTTCAAACACTTACCATTCTCATCTATGAAAACATGCATTGCATCCACAGATATCTCATCTTGCATGGAAGCCTCAGGTCCGCTTATAACTTGCAAGACAGAGCTATCTTGCTGGGAAGTTACCCGGTAGATTATCTGCCTTTGCCTGCTGCCCTGGTAACTTGACACAAAAATGTTTCAAAACTACTATGAGGAACTTTTTTCTTGCTCTCAAAACAGAAAGAGAGAGAGGTTAATTAAAAGTCTACTCAGTGTAACAAAACAGCTACCATCATCATAAATTTGAAGTACAAAATTGTAAAGTAAACTGCCCTTACAGTGCTGTAAATTTGCCAGATTCTGGTAACACTGGACTACTCCTAGCATGATCTTGACTTTGTACATCTGATCTTTCCCATTTAGGAACATACTCGCAGTGCTTTTCCATTTCCATCATTTCTTCTTTCTTCTCTGTTGCCTGGCTATCTGAAAGACACATGAAGTGACCTGTGTACAGTCTCCCTAAGAAATTATTCTCATTTACTTCTGAATAAGTTAAAGACTGAGGCAGCTATTAACACTTTATTAAATGTAGTTCTAACCTGGGGAACACATAACTATGTTGCTTTAAGAGGCATGTCTTATTCATGCTCTCCCAGTTAGTGCATACCAGACTCCTGGAAACAAGGCAGTGTAGCCTGCCAAGAGCACCCCTGAGCACATGCCAGGAAGCATGCCCAAAACAACCTGAGGGTAGCACTGGGGCATGTGCTTGGTGCTACTCTTAACAGGCTCCACTGTCTCAGTTTGTGAGATTCAGCACATGGCCACAGGCAACATAACCAAGAAGGTCCTAATTCCTGCCCTGCTTCCCCCATTGTTCCATAAGAAAGTAATCTGCAATAGGTCTATATCAGAAATAGATTATTCCCCTTATGCACCAGTGGCTGGTATACTGGTGGAGGAGGCAGATGCAAGTTAGTAGCTATTTTCTACCACTGACCACATTAAGTCTGCTTCTAGCTTTGAACACTTTGTTATTACATAGTGATGGTCCTCATTAGTTAATAATATTTGCACTGATTAACTAAAAATCATGGAACACCATATTGATAATGGAAGAATAATTTCTTTAAGTGCTTTCAGGTATAACCAGAACAGTGATTTTTCTACAGTTCTGGGTTTTAAATGAAGAATTCTGGGATTTGTTGGGCCAGGCAACCCACTGGAAAAAC